GATTCTGTGATGAGCTTTATTCTGATGCTAGAAGACAGTCAGCCAACAGAAAGCCCTTCTCGACTCAACTTTAAAAAGAAGGGCGGTACAGTGTCACGTCATTCAGTTATGTGGTCACACTGCAAACTTGATCGCCAGACTTCAGTCAGTGCTAAGCATATAGGACTAACCAGTTACATAAGTTGAACAATCGGTGTCCTACACGGGGTCAGTCGTAGTTCCAGTAGCTTTGTGGTTTTCTCAGTCTTCAGAACAGAGTGATGCAGATCGTAACTATCGATGGAATACCACGTCTTTCGCGAGAGCTTATATGCCTTGTTGATGTCTCAAAAAGCATGCAACCATGGCTGAGTAGATCTCCCTGTCGACTGACTCTCAACACCTAACATCAGAAATGTATCTTCTGCACTCTGGAAGAGATTACGATTGACCATTCAGTAATATCAAACGGATGAATTATACACTTGCTGTGTCAAATGTTTACCGAGAGCGATCGATACTACTAATAAGTTTTGCATGACTTCTAGCAACTTCTTTTTGAGTCCCCACACTTAGTAGAATAGCATTTGTGTGCAGGAAGAAACACGATGATTTTTCAGATAACTTTAGTTGGGGAGTAGCAATATCCTTCACACTCAAACATGCAACGTTACACTCTAGAATTATTTACTTGGTTTTTCTACTGATTGCTAACAATCTGACTAAGTGGTGATTTAACACGCAGAAAATCCTCAGTTCGATGATGTCAAGTTTTACAGGCGTAGAGTGGAATCACCTGCACCGATACAAAAATCTAATTGTGGAGTAAGCCAAGCCTATTGTGTGAGGTCTTATGGTACTACCTGGTAGCCTAAACGTCGGTAGGTGGGGTTCGAACCCGTGATCCATCGATTGGAAGCCGAGCATCTACACCAGTCAGCCAAAGCTCCCGGTGCTTTGTATACCCGACGTTCTATACCTAGGCCAACGTTTCGACCCGTAGTGGTAACAAATCTATCGTAGTTTTCGATTTACAGTTGGAAATCTGATGAGTCACACCTCCACCGAGGCTACATCATATTGGAAGGTCTGTTTACGAAGCTCAAACATTTTCTAAGAGAAAAAACGTTTCGTACTCAGCATGAAACGCTTCAAGCACCGTATGCAGAAATCACAGCTCCCAGATATCATTTAGATTAGGGGGACTAGGCCATCAACTTTCAAACAATGCACCTCAAGTTAAATCCCATTAGACCACCTTCCTTAGTATGAGTAACCAGGTAGCATAATGGGATATCAAAAATGATTTACGGTCTATAGACCACTAAATTAACTTGCATTGTCTAACTGAACAACACTATTGTTGAGACTGTCATTCAAAACACCGATATTATTGCCTTAAGCCCTACAAACACAAAAGTCTTGAGTCAGACTATACAAGACCGATAAATACACAGAAAGGGTGCTACCAACTAATCTGTGAAATTCAATGATAATAGTGTAAGTCAACAAACATACAGAATTCGCTATGAGCAAGACTATGCAGTGAGTGTGTTAATGTAGACTATCCCAGTGACCAAAATTCTTTCGTCTTTGCAAACTTCTGCGTCATTGAAACACCAGGCTATTAACATAAACCCCACGCGTAGAGTTTTAGTCAAAAGATCCTCACCGATAACTGCTAAATTGACGTGGTGGTCAGGCTTAAACATCAAAATGGCCCGACGAGTCATGGTGGTGGAAAGATTGTTCCCTAGAGGTCCTACTGTGCCACAAAAGTTTGCTGGATAGCGATGCGACAAAAAGTAGTAACCGCTAAAACACAAACCGCTACTCTGTGATGGGGGTCCGGGGGCGAAGTAGTAATACTAGGTAGACGCAGATGTGGAAGTAGGCTGTTTTTCACGAATGACCTGACCTCCCGATGCGAAGCAAGGGGTCAGAAGAGGTTGGGTTCCAAAATAGCACACTGCCCCTGACCTGTGATATTCCGGTACCTGTGGTATGGGTTTTCCTTGCCCAGTGTTAGTACAACGAAGTCTTAGAAAGGTCGTATGTGACGGGTCTAAAGCAGATGTCTCATGGGCACTATGGTTACGCAAAACCAATCGCTTTTCCTTTCCAGGTACCCTGGAGAAGTGACTTCCATGGTGTAGTAAAATTGAACATACCAACCACCCACACGCTTCCAGTGGCAAACAAAACCCAACTAAGTGTAGGTTTTTTTCCTTAGCTTTGTTGACTCACTCGTCTATACTTCCTCAACCTCTCGCCCTACGACCGTTGCCAATGAGCCAAGTCCTTCCCAGATTCTTAAAATCATGCTGTCAGAGTCACATTAAAACTCTTAACGTCTTAATCTTGTGTTGAATCAGACAGTAGCTATCACTCTCCGAACCTCCGGAATTCCGAACCGTGAATGTATGCTGAAATTTTAAAACACGTATACAGGACCTGAGTATGGTTAGCCACTCGAAACTCATTTGACCAATGTGATAAATCTGTAAGATTTACCTCACGAGTGTCCAGAGACTCAATGGCTAGACCCTCTGGACTCGATGGTGTAGATATAACATTAAGCTGCAAAGCAAAAGTCGCACTCCTCGTATAGGTACCAGTCATCAGGAGTCTGTATGCTGAACAAATGAATGGATCAGTAAGAAATGGGAAAGGTTGTGACATTCCCCGGCGCCTATTCATAATCCTAGCCTACGTGTTCACCGACTTCTTTTCAGATGGTACAAAGCATGAATCTTCTTAAAATCTGTTTATTCTGTCACATAAAGTAAAACGCTCAGATACTCATAATAGTGAGAGACTTCAACGTCCAAGTAGGGAAGCTAAGTCAATCTAAAACGGATCTTGGAGGTACCTGTGGAATTCGATACCAAAGAAACAGACAAAAGTGATCGTCCCTCAAAAATTTGTTCTGCCAAATACTCGTTTCTGGTCAGCACCAACTTTAGACCTAAGGAGAGACACTGTCTCACATGCCATTCACCAACTTCGAACCAACGAAGAATACAGATAGACAATATTGCTATAAGCCATCGTTGGAGAGGATCGGCAGAGGATTCCTGCTATCCCAGTAGTACCAGTTTGAACTCTGATAACGCGCTGATACGCGTACGTGTATCTGGGTCTTACTGGTTGTAGAAAACAAGAGACAGTGAAGCCTGCGTTGGCCCGATTGGAAGATAAGAACGTCAGGTACACATTTAGAGAGAAGTTAGCTAAGGATTTATCTGGAAGTGACAGCGATACTTATCCTGAGGAAACTTGGCACGATGTTAAGTCTGCAGTAGGAACAGTGGCAAAAAGTAGATGGTAACCTACACACGAAGGTTAACAAACGTCAATGGATTTCCGCAACACTATCCGAACTGATTGAGGCGTGAAGACTGATTCCAGTTGGCTCTAACCACGATGAAGAGTGAAAGTACCCTAAACGTAAATTTACCACGTCTTCACAATGATCACGAGTAGTGAGTGGCGAGAGTAATTGAAAAAGCATCAGCATTAGGGAATGGCCAGCAGTTACTTAAGGTTATTAAAACCACCACCGAGAAGGATGGAACTATGTAAACCTCTCAAAACAGGAGGCTCGAAGGTTGAGCAGAACAATGAATAACAGCTCAACTGGTCGACAGCAACGCTTCAGTTGCCTAACATCCAGTCTGAACCCGAATGGGACGTTGATGTCGGTCCTCGAAGTTGAGAAGACTATACCAAACCTGAAGCAATGCAAAACAGCAGGACCTGACGGTTTGCTACCCAATATTTTCATGGATGGAAATAGGAAATTACTGAGTAGATTGAAGGAGGTACTAGGTAGTGTATGGAGTTAGAGGTAGTTCGATCAAACAAGTTTACTTCACTGATCATCTCTGTCTATAGGTAGGGAGACGAGTTTTTCTGTGACAACCAGAGAAGAATCAGTCTAACTAATATCGCGCCCGAGATCCTAGGGGTCATAGTTAACTGATGTCTAACTGGAACTCAAGAAAACCATGGAGGTCTTAGACCTGAATGAGAGTGTGCTGATCAGATTTTAACCCTCTCACAGGTTCTGGAACACAGTCATACTTACCGATGACCGACACTTGCCAAATTTCTTGATTTGTAGGTGGCATTTGACTCAGTCGGCCGTGAAGTGTTGTGGCAGTGTCTGACTGTGAAGGAAGTACCGAGGCAAAGTATATAACGCTAATCAAAGCTCTCTACTCGAACTCACGCATCCGTGTCAGGGCTTATGGAGAGTTATGTGAATTGACGACAACCAGTTGCGCCCTCCAGGGGTTCCCACTGTCACCATTCCTATTTAACTTCGTCATGGACGTAATAATGGACATAACTTTAGGTATGTCTGACTTCACACGAATTGACCTACTCCCTGAATGTCATCTGGTTGACTTGGAGTACGCAGACAATATGTCCTGCTGGGTGAAAACGCTGACGTACTGAAGGGTCTTCTGAACGTGTTGAGCAGAAATTTGAGTGTTTGGCATGAGTTTCGCTGTCACCTGTCAAATTTAAGACGATGCTCCATGACGGGTCAGCAATGACTCCCGGCCTAATGATAGGGAGTGAAGTGATGGAGTGTGTCGATCGATTCCCTTGCTTGGGGGGTTGCATCAGTTCGAAGTGGCTGACGAAATTTCAGCTTGGATACAGAAGTCGCGTTTGGCATTTGCCAACTTTCATCATCTGGCGAGACATCCGGCCATGTATCAAAGGATGAGTATACTGCGCTGCAGTTCGTTCTGTCTCGTTATACAGCTGAGACATGGCCGTTAAAGGAGAAGAAACGAAGCGGTTTATACTAACCTTTATCCTCACACTCCTCCCATACACCCTTATCAACTTTGATATCAGTCTTTTCGTATCCGGTTGTTTTTTGTATGCTGTGGTGGAGTGTGGTAGCTTGATCGGATGGATTTCTGTGTGAGGATCTACATTGACTTATTTGTCTGTTTAAAAGTTATATCCCCCCACCGACGTGAACAATTATAATAGCGAAATTCAAAATGCAAACGCATAACATGTATGAAAGATACACGAGCAAGGAAAAAAAAGAAAACATCTGAATTCATTTTTTCTCATACCACTCACAATATACTTGCAAAATAAACATGTTGAAAGAAGAGCACATTATGACGAAAAATAAAGTAATAAAAAGCAAATGAAATCCTCTATTCCGATAATATACACTATCAAACTGTAATTAAACCTTACTTATCATCAAATACCTAGACATGCACATATGCAGAAGGAACAAAACCATTTGTATTCATTACAGTCTTAAAAACAATAACAACAACCTGATGAAATGTCTGTGATTTTCCACACCTCGTAACAAGTAAAAAACATGTCAAATCTGCTTATTCATACTTGAAAATCAACTGTGTTATTTTTATTCGTAATAAACAAACAGTTTCTGTTTTGCTTAGAAGAAAGGAAAAGTGATAAAATCAGAAGTATCTAATAAACAATCGAGATAGAGTACAGTACAGTACACTGTTATTATCACAGTTGAATCCAAGTATGAAAACAATAATACAATGGATAAGTGTTGTACAGAGAGATTTACACAATACAGATTTCTATTAGGCAATAAGTGGTAGACCACCACCACTACCGACTGAAGACGTGTCGCCGACACCAGATGCATTCATTGCACCTGTTTTAGATGTTGGCCATAAATTGGCAAACACTTTATTTGTTGCAGTCGATTTTATTACTGTTAGAATGCTTGAAGCACTTCCATCTAGATTAGACATCCAACAACGAAGGTAACCGTAGACATTGGCTAAATTCATGCACAAGGCAATCGCACAGACTAAAGCCCAACGAAGATTTAACGAAAATACTGCTGCTAGGAGAAATACAAACCAAAGCACTGGACTTCCAATCAATCCCAGCCAAAATAAACGAGATAACTGTTGTCTAGCGATACGTGCTGCTAACTCTCGGCGACTAAGTCCAGAAACATCGACTGAGTCAATAGGTGAGGGTTTACGTGCATCATATCTCCAGTGCACTTGTCCTTCGTCATCCGTATAGCTTGACCAACGTAGGCCAACTAGAATGCGTCCAGAGATGTTTTTAACTATCCAAAAGTCAAGTGATAAGCAAACCAGTATGAAGATAAATGGAAGAATGAATGATGATGTGAACCAAGCGCATAGTATATAAATGATCAAAGCAGATGAACGAAAGGCAAAATGACCAATTAAAGCTACACGTTTAGTCGACGGACTATGCGGTCCACCTGAAGGGGATCCAGTATCCATGTCATCTGTTAGCGCTAAAACAACCTCATCTCTTGAATCCATTGAGAACAATAAAAATGTACCTGAGCAGAAAAAAAAATTAAGAACAAATACAAATGTGGTGGACTTCATGACAATGAGTGTCAAAGGTTAATTCTATGTAAATAACTACACAATAATTATCGTCATGCAGGATATATTCAGCTAGACCGTCACTGTTGATGTATTGATTTGGCTTGTCCACGTCGAGTCTAACTGCCTGATATGTGTTCTCTCTAATACCTAACACACTCATGAAAGTTGATTTGGAGATGAGATGGGTGCTAGATGAATTTTTATTGAGACCTGCAGTAGTGTTCTAAAGTCTACACAACTAATTATATTGATTCAGTATCTTTATCAAGTAACTCAAGATATTATCTTTCACGGCATGGACACCTGGGAAGTGTAAATCATCCGCATATCAGCACCAGTTGATCTCTTCCTGTTGTCTATTAGACATAACGAACATTTTGAGAAAGATAATGAAAATGAGCAAGACAACATATGTAGGCATCAAGCAGTTTTAGTATACATACACTACAAAAATTAATTTAGGGTTTCAGAAAAACTCGTATCTGAAAAAATTGGTCAACTGTTACAGTCACACATTGAAATGAATGAAATGACCAATTTTTGAAGATTTCAGGAGTTATCTTCATGCTTTGAAAAGCAAGTTCTTGTTTCGAATAGTTCTTGAGTACATATAGTCTGAACTACTTGTCCACTAAGGGATAATAGTAAATTATTTAACCACTGAGTACGTAAGACAGACAGACAAAGAGACAAAATCAACATAGAACCTCGCACACAGGTGCATGACTTCCAGTTACCAAACTGCATAGCAGTACACAAAGAATAGCTGAACAGGAAAAAGTAATAATCAAGTAGATGTTGTGTGAGACTATAAAAGGTTTGACGATAACGGTTAATGAAAACAATCAACCGTAAGAAGACGCCAAAGAGTGAATACATCTGCATCATTGTGACCGATTTTCAGCTGTCACCAAGAGTCAGTCCTCAGCCAACGATTCCCTTCGTCTCGGTTACCCCCAACCAGGTAGTCTACACCTCGCTCTACACGGCTTAGACCAACAGTTAGAGACTTCACCTACTGGTCCCACGTCTTCGTTTGGTCACTCCGAACCCTCCTCTAACCTGATCCAACTTCCCCCAGCATGGTACATTGAGATAGGTGGTGGCTCGGCATGCGTAGTGCATGTCCAAGTCATCTCAGTCAACTAAGGTTCACAACCTCATCAATCGACCTGCCTGCCCGTCTAGCCTAATACCCTTCGTCTGACCTCAACATTGTTTACATGCTGAGTCTACCAAACGCGAGCAGTGCTACGAAACCACGTGTGATCAAAATACAGTAATCGCTTAATTTTTTCTACGTTTAAAGGTCATATCTCAGCGGTACAACAGGACAGAACGAACTGCAGCAAGCACAGTATACTCATCCTTTAAGAGATGGTCGGCAGATAGCGTTGTGGTGACCACGCGTTGTGCTTGTTGGCAAATGACTTAATAATAGCGATTTACTGATTACTTGTAAGCACCCAATAATTATACCTAACTGCCAGCCAATTACTGAAAGCATTGTCCGAAACTATCGCGAACTGGAAAGTCATACGAGTTTGACGCATGTGTTAGGATTGACACGACAGATACTGAATTTTGAAAGCTTCAGTGGTTAGGAAGGTACTAGTTAGGTGCATCGGATGTGAAGCCAGGAAACCGTTGGAACAGCTTGTGTCAGAATAACCAATAGATCGTGTACTAGGAAACTCTCCGATTGCTGTAACACGTGTGGACTACTCTGACCCGTTCTACGTCAAAGTCATACGAATAAGAAACGCTATAGGTGTACTTTCTCATGCCCAAGCGTCTTCATCAATTGATTCCTTTCTGATGACCTTTACCAAATTCATACGTAGACGGAGGTGCCCGGAGGTTTACAGTGACAGAGAGAAGAGTTTTGTCAAAGTATGACTTCAAATGCATCAATTTTCGAAGTACGAGGGGAAGCGACATCAGGAACGATAACAAACAAAGATAACAACTGACAGTCCAACCTTTTTCATTCCATTCATCGTGAGAGTAGGGGAGAAGTACAACGTTTATTTGCCGGATTCTGACAGGGGTTTTATGAGTGAATTATGATAGAAATTTCGCCACTCAGTCCCGTGAACGAACCCTTAACAGATTACCAGTTGCTTTTCAGAGCACAAAGCTAGCTGAAGCTATCATATACATACTGGTGGCGTAAGTTATTGAACCAGAGGTCCTCTTATAAGATAAGGTTGCGTCAACCACGAGTTAGGTCACAGATGTCTATTCGTTACTCTCGAGACGGGAAATAATAAATGGGAAGAACTTTAGCAGGCCCTGTGGAATCTGGCGTGAAAAGAATATACCTGCTACGGACGCTGACATTAGGTAAGTAGATAGTATCAAAATGACCAACGTTCGTAGCTGTCGCACGAGTCAACAGTGCCTATTCCGTCGGTTGTTAAACGTAGACTACAAGTTGGGTTTCAAAGGTTGTGTTGAATATGTTATGCCTGTCCGCCTTGAGTCGAAAATAGTAAGACAAAAAAACAAGGAAATTCCCAAACAGATGCTGCCAAAACAGGTTGAAAAGAATGGCAAGATAGCTGTATTGTAGTCAACTGTGGACGATGGGTTATAAGGAGTCATCATAAAAAAGACCCAGCGCCTAGCTAATAGGGATGCTGAAGCCTTTTTTGAAAAGCCATTTTCTTCAAGCACATACAGTCTGTATACAAGCTGTAACATCCACGCTAATATAGTAATGCATGGTACATCATGCTTTAAGTAACGCTGTCAAGAGTATAGTGACGTATCCTCAGATATAAGCAAATAATGATGCGATAGAATAGGTCCAAAGTGTGTCCATAACTTCGAAAAATATAGCAAAGGACTCGTAACATACCGAAATTGAGGTCTACGCGGCGTAAAGTTCCAAAACCGCGGTGTGTAACACAGACGTTTAATGCCCAATTTCATTCACAAGACCATAGCAAACTGACACTTCTTGAATCTTCCGACCTAAGTCTTGGGACTTGACCCTTTTTACATATCCCTCCTGAGAGGATGAAAATTCTTACTGAAAAACCGCATTTAGCTCCCAAGAGTGTGGCTGTTCACTTGTAACTTCCGGTTATAGCATGCAGACTGGGTAACTAAAAAACTGCTGAGGAGTTCGGAAGACCGTAAGTCTTCATTTGACTGCCTTACACCGGGGCTCATGGTGTTATACAGTAGTAATGGTGACTCAGTCTTAAGAATAACACCCGGAAGATATAACTTGAACATGGTAGGGTAGACCTCAGGCGTAACGTTTACTCACCAAGAGTCGTTAAGGCTTGGAATACTGTCCCCCTAAGGTTTGCGGTGGCCTCATCATTAGGGTCCTCCAAATGCAATTTTGACACCGGCTCTACTTAACAGCGTGAGCTTGTTCACCAATTCGCTAGAAACCTAGTCCTTTCGTTTTTTGTCTGCATACCGCGGCCATCAGCTACAAGAACAAGTAATCAACCGACTTCAGATGTGGAAGCCAGTTATTTGTGAGCCCCTTCTATAACGTCAACAATTATTTGATTCTGAGACCATATTGACGGAAATTATAATGAGGTATCACGGAAGGGAGAAGACAAACAACATGTGGGTACACCAGAATGTGACTTCGAGATCCAGTCCAGTTATGTCAGCGGGTTCAGCGAGGCGGGTGAACTTTCGTGGTTCAGCGATTATTAGCAAATCCCCAAGGATGACGCCACTGTTGAGGCAGTATCCATTGAAGATGACTCAAATCTCTGTCTCACCGTAACCACATGAGTTGCCCCAGCAACGTCAACTGATGGTCAGGTAGCCACCAAGAGTGGCTAAACACCCCCACATGCCATCAAGTTAGTTTTCTATCGACGGTCACCCAAGCCTCCATCCGATGACCCTCGGCGACTGTTCAACCGAGGACAGTGTCTGTGTGTAGTGACCACCTCGGGCTCCAGGATCGCGTATTAATCCAACAGACACCACATAGTCAAGTTTCATGCCAACCCAAAACGGGTCACCCAGGATTGGGATGAATAGGGATAATTTAATAAATCTATCCCTACCAGGCTTACGTAGAAAACGGCGTCTCTGGACCTGTTAAATGCGGCACAAAGTGGCAAAAACACTTGTGGCGAGTTTCGCTTATCCCCCGACAGAAACTAGACGGGCCATGGTAACGTGTACATGGACACTCTCCCCAGCCTGATAGGCAGAAAACCGTGCTTGGTTTTGGGGGGTGCTTATGTTAAGCGGCTAGAGGTCGACTTTTTAGGTTCGCCAACTGCAACGGCAGTCCATGGAGCTACTTTCCCCCGCTACGGGCAACAAAAACAAGTCATCTCCGAAAACGGTGCGCAGTTACTGCTCAAAAAATTCCACGAAAGCTGTATCAGGAGTCTCACCAGCCCGTGACCATAAATGAATGAACTAGCCAAATTTTTCGTACATAAATCTTGAGGACACTTGCCCAGTGTGAGAGGAAAGAGGCTGACGAATAATATTCAACAGTCCTTGTTCACATACAGAACAGCACCCGGGGAAGGGCTGCTCAAACGTCAAACTCCTGCCGAGGCACTTATGGTACGTAAATTGAGGACGCCTCACGACATTGTAGCCTCGAACCTTGCCCCCCAAAAGGCCATCAGCAAACGCCAGAATGAAGTTCAAAGCAGGAACACCAGCGTTCACCTGTGGTCATAGACCCAGGCATGACATGAAGAAAACATAGAAATCAACCCTGTTCAAAAGCGGGAGGGGATGGGAACCGTTACTAAACAAAGTTCCCCCGGAAGTCCCGCTCTGCCCTTTCTACTCACCCAGCAAGAGCAGAACTCAACCAGAAAACGTCCCTAAGGTGATGCGGGAGCTACTTTTATGAAGGTGGTCAGACGGAAGACGGAAAAACTCATCATGTTTTAAACTTGGACATCTGAATTTCCGAAAGAGGTATATATTGGGATGTTATATCCAAGGAGTTGAACGTTTTACTCCCTAAATTCATGAGTTTACCTGACGGAAGTTTGAGTCTATTGTTTTCGTGCCGCTTTCCCCGTCGCGTTTACCTCTCAGTTTCATCGATCTGGAAGACACTGTTTTCCCGGTGGTTTGTCTGCCTGCCCCAGAGGTGTGCAATAACCCAAGAGTTTCGCCTCTCCAATAACACATTGCCTGAAATAAGCTCCCTCCACTCTAATAGTATCTTTCCCCTCATACTAGCCGAACAATTTGCTACGTATTACATGGTGCATTTGGTATAAGCATTACCTATTCTTGGTATACAAAGTCCGCGACTCACGACAACACATAGGTAGATGTTAGATGGTCTGCAAGAGTCAAGATAGGGGAATACGGGGAAAAAGAAACACTGGAGGTCGAAGCTACATATTAAACACAGCACCGTTCCGCATGAACATCAGGCTTTTCCAGGATGGTTCTTGGAAAGAAAAGATGAGAGTTGGATTTCTACATCGACATATGATGACTGTTACGTGGTACAGAGTGAAATTATCCGAAGGTATTTGTGGAGGATGCAGATTGTAGAGAAGGGTTGATATGGAAAGCCCAAAAGCTGGTAGTGTCCTACGATTAGTCATGTAAGTTGCAACTAGAGTTGATAAAAACACTGTGTGCCTTATCATCAGTTTCTACTGTCCAAGACGACAGGCACAGTGAACCCGAGGCGACTGGTTCCATTATATGAGTGACGTTAAGTTTGAATCCCTACAGTTAAATAGAGCCAGAAAAGTATGATGTTGTTGATAATTAGGTATGGTGATGACCTCCTTTTCGTGACAACACCTTATAAGGTGTCTCTGACTCTGTCAATTTTAATTTTCATTAGCGTACTGTTAGGGCCAAATGACTCGGTCGCGATCAGCAACCAAAAGCCATCACCCATTCTTGGGGAGAAGGTTGTGGATACGAGCAACATTGTTTTGGTTCCAGCATGCCTTCAGTTTGTTTGTCCATTCAAATCCGCTTCCCATACCATTCGCCATTTGTATATGAACCATGACAACCTGTACGTTAATGGCTACCTAGTTCCGTTCAAGTTGCTGGCAAGTTCTAAGGTTTTGTTTCTGAAATCTGGATTGCAGATTTTTGGTAATTGCTGTGCACAAATTCAGCCCACGGGATGATACTGTCGATAGACACGAGTGGTGAAGATTATACTGGATGTCACATTTCACTGTGTATAAGCTGAGGGCTGATTGCGAGTAGCCGTGAATTCCTGCTCATATTTGGAAGTTTAGATGCTCGACGACCTTCTGTGCCCTCTATTCGATAACATAGGAAGTGGAGTCAGCAGATGTTCGTAAAGACAATCATTGCAGATTTGTGGGCTTCAAGAGCTTGGGTGCAAGACCTCGGTAAGGATATGGACAGCGAAATCAGCGGAATGTGTTTGCCGTGCGGTTCCTGATACCCTGGCTACCATCTCGAAAAAAAGAGAAAGAAATACAACTTATCAAGGAAGAAGGTTGTCTTACGACAAGTGTCCTGTGCTCATTTATATGTACGAATATGGTTCGGGAGTTGCGTTTTGTGGATTCTGAATGCTTGGGTTGTTTCAGTTTATCCAGTTGCTTGAAAGGGTCTTCAGAAGCTTGTCATGCAGTCATATGTCTAATGAGGCTGGTTGTGTCAGTGAGGATATCCTAATTGCCCCAGATTTACAAAACCCTTAGATGCGCCCTCCGTGGTATCAGCATTTTATCCAGAGAACGAAGCTGAATAGGTCTGGTGGTTACTTCACACGCCCGACTGTCCAAACACTCATAGGGCCTAATATGATGAGTGTTGTGGGATATGTTTAATTAGGGTTTAACATGCCCACAGGTTGCCGGAAGCTTTGTCTGGCAATCAACGAAACTGAGTGGGTGAGCCGCAAGCTCTAAACTTAACAGAGAGCTGACCCCGTTTTGGGAGGGTTTAAGAGATAGGTTAGCAGGTACAGAAGTATTTAAGGCTCTCACTTCAACTCTATGTGCCCGGTCACGTAAGCCATAGCAACATATTCACGAAAATTGAAGTCACCGACTGGATGAGAATGATATATCGTTCAGAATCCTGAAAGATAAAACAAGATTTGTCTTCTGTCGTCTCGTCCAGAGATTATATTACGTTTGTCGGATTCAGATGGAACGGGAGGACACAACGCTCTGCTTGGAGGGTCGAAAAAAGGCTTGTTGGTTAGAGTGTATGAAAGAGAGGGAATATGGTTGTTGCTCTTAATCCCAAACGGGGTCAAACGTCTTTGCCTTTGCGGCACAATCTTAACTTTAAAACTTGGAGCAAACTTATCGTCAGTGACAGAGGTGATGAGCTTCACCACCACACCAGTGGAACCAAAGCGGAAGAGAACAAGACAAATTGCCTAAACCTTGGGCCACCGAAAATTTCCCACTGAGCATACATCAGTTTGTTTCCCCTGAAATTAGCCTAACAATTCAAATGCCGCCCTAAAATCGAGTCGGGTATTCTCGGATATCTCAAAAATGTTTTCAACCTGCCGGTTTGTAAGTTGCCGCTTAAAATGAGAAAAAGCACCACCGTAGAAAACGTCGGACCCATGGAAGCATAAAAACAAAGCCAATTATCATTCCTTAAGTGGTCAGGTCAACGTACGGATCTTCAAACTGGTTGAGTTAATCAACACCAGCAAACTTATGCACGCTTTCCAATTCCTTTCCTTTCCATACAAAACAATGGCAGGTAGCCATTGAGTAATTTCGCCTCCATTGCTGTATCATGAGCATTACTGAAACTTCCACACCATTTCATTTCGAAACATTATACAATCAATAAATTTACTGAACTCTTACATATCGAGAAGTCTACAGCATTATAATCGCACTGTCTGGAACAAAGTGATTGGAATATCGACAAAAGCGGGATTACGCGAGTGCAGCGTCACTTAGTACCGAAAAAGCTGAGTCCTCAGGAAGACGGATAACAGCACTTTCGGGTGGCCTTTTGACGAAAATTTTATGAA